AAGTGTGTGTGTGTGTGTGTGTGTGTGTGTGTGTGTGTGTGTGTGTGTGTGTGTGTGTGTGTGTGTGTGTGTGTGTGTGTGTGTGTGTGTGTGTGTGTGTGTGCCCGCCCTGGTGTTTGCCTGGTCAGGGGAGCAGGCCAGCGTCAGCAGCAGCGTCAGGGCAGAGTATCGTCAGGGCAGAGTATCGTCAGTGTGTCAGAGGCAGCGGGGGCCGGGGCTCCCATGCAGACTTCCCATCAGCGCGGGGATGGAGCTGAGTCGGCCGGACAGCACCGCGGCACACTCCAAACTTACTTAGTGTAATTAAAGTTGAGAAAGGTTAAAGTTTGACGCTGAGACCAGGCGAAGGCTTCTTTCTCCCAGGCAAGAGACAATATAGGGGAGCTCGTCACAGCGGCTCACCGGTGACCCTCCTGGAAAGTGAGGCAGACACGGCGGAAGTGCAGACGCTCATCCACGAACATGATTAGGAGCGAGGCCTTGAGAGGAGGGGACAATCGGGGTGTACATGTAATTAAATGGGCCAACCTTTTGTGGCACTCCTACAGGAACATCCATCCGGAAACAGGAGTGTGTAATAGTCTGTGATCCATGTCTGGAAGGAGTGTGTGTATATGCTGGGGATTTAATCCTTAGAACAAATACAACAAGATGTAATGTCAGCTCCAGAGGTGCTGGGAGTTTAACGGTTTGAGAGCAACGCAGACTGGCCTGTCAGCGAATCACGAGTCCAGATTAGAGACTAAAGCCTTTTGTGTTCTGTTGTATGATAGTGAAGTGTAAGGGGGTCCCAAACACTTCCATCAGGAGAAAGGTGCTGCAGCTTCAGAAACAATGCAAGTTCATCTTCACGAAACATGTGCAGCATTGACTAAAAGTGCTAATGGCTACGAATGAAATGCTGCATGAAGTTCATAATGGAAACCAGGGGACACTAAAAAGTGACGCGCACAGCTGGGACCGGAGCGTTGGTGGCGTTCAGGATTATAAAGCTGGACAACTGTCTCTGTTGTTGGAAACTTAAAATGTTTTATGGTTTTATTTTAACAATGTGATCACATGACTCCTTCTGCAGATCTGCTGTAAGCTAGCTAGCTAACGTAGATATTTCAAATTTACTGACACAACTAAACTCTGATAGAATTTGTATTTGTATTGTATGTGCACACTGCATATATAAACAGAAAATGACATGGTGTGTATGAGGTCACACATATCCCTGGTGTATGTGCACATGTTTACACATATCAACACACACCTACATGCACATTCAAACACACACACGGACCATATTTGCATGCAGTCAGAAGCAGGCGTTGGGGGAACAATGGTCCCTGTGCAGTCTCTCTTTCAGCTGCAGAGACGGAGCACATGTCCCAGGCTGCGGCTGTCAGACGCTCGTACAGGAAGTGCACCGTGTTTTGTTGACGTGTCACTTGCACCCTCTCCCCTCTTGGTGAGGTGAAACCCACTTTCTGTAAATGATAGTCCTCTTTGTCTGCCATCAAAAGGACTCCTTCACCACTCTTGAAAAGGTCTTGTCAGCTGTCAGGCAAAACCCAGCGAATAGCATTAGAAATTCATTCATTCAATCTATAAGTAATTACATTTTTTTTCTTAATTTCCCTCTCTGCTGACCCCCTCCACACCTCCATCATAATTATTGCTCCTAGCAACAATCTATAGCTTCCCCTGAAAAACAAATAAACAGCAGACACGTCAAATCATTTGTAAAGTGAGCGGGGACGCTTAATAGAAACATCATTAAAATCATACATTTATTATGCAGGCGCTGATGGAGTTGGTTATGTCTGTCCAAACGTCTGCATTACAAATGCCGCACTTGATTAACTGTCAAATTTGATTACAGATGGATTATATATTTAACAGCTGTAGGTAGACCACATCCCTGTGCTTCCCTTTTATGTTTCCTGGTCAGTCATTAGCATACAATTTGCAGCCGTGTGTGTCGTCTGTGTGTGTGTTACATATTTAAACTGAATTAACGTATGGACTGAAATAACTTTTTAGATTGATGGCAGTGACAGAATACTTATATATACGATGTTGAGCTATACAGAAATGGTGACAAAAGTAAGTTATTGAATGCTGATTGTGTATTTTTCCACACACTCTGAGCTGCAGCAGACGTTAGTGTAATGTGCTTGCTCACACCTTTTTAAAAGCAGGAGGTAATGGGCATTTCCGTTTGATGCCTTGTCCTTTAACTTTCCTCAGTCTGGCATTTTTAATCCAGTTCAGATTAAAACACTCGCCCTGTTCAAAATGCTCCGGCTCTGCGATATAAAGCTCCTAATCTCTGGTTCCCAAGCGCAGAAAATCCTATTAAGATCACCTTCAGTTTAACACACACATTGTTACGAAATGCAAAATATGCAGCTTCACCGGTGCACTTTTAATTGAGGGTAAAGTGCCCCCTCGGTAGATGGATACTGCACTGTATGCAAAACCATTTGAGTAATTTTGAGAATGTCTGTCAAGGAGAACCTCCGAACCTCGGATCCTCTCTCGGGGGCGCCCTCAGGGCTGAGCCACGGGTGGGGGGGGGGGCACAGGGGTTCAGTGGGGTCTCATCGGGTGTCTCCGGAGAGGTGTCAGCTTGGGAGGATTTGACTGATTAGGTAATATTCCTCCATGTTCCCGTGTAAGCAACATTTCCACGCGCCTGTAATTCCCGTCCTCACGTCGCTCTCATCTCTTAACGTGGAGACTCGGTGCTTAAAGAACAACCTTGATGGCAGGCGTCAGCTTTCCGCCGCAAAGCCACTTACCCGAGAGGGCGCCCCCCCGGTGGATATGGTGACGCTTAAATTGCCCTCACGTCCACCATGGCAACCACAAAGAGTGTGTAGGCAGAGGTGTGCTACCATTCATCATCCTAACCTCCTGTCCCGCACAAGTGACCTCGTAAATGCATCCGGCTCATCGTCTAATGAGAGGTTGCTAACCTGTTGTTACCGACTGCAGTGTCAGATTCCAGGAGTTAATGTGGAAAGATAGTTTCCAAGGTGACCCCCGGGGTAATCTCACTAAATGAGGGTGAAGATGTCTAAAAATGTAATAAATCCGGAGGGAAATCAATGCTTTTACAATGCACTGATACATTTAAAATCACGCCTTGCAGTGACACAAGCCAATACAGTGTTTGAAATATAAGTGACCACTTTACAGAACATAAAAGAGCATGTCAGTGCACCTGATCGCCTCTGAGGACATCTGACAGCCTTCTGATGTGCAGGAGCAAGCACTCTCTCCTCAGATACATATGAGATTTAAAGAGTCCTCTCCTGCTGATGTTCAGGTGTATATCAGTATGTAGTGTCTCTACTTTAAAGAGTCTAGAGACACTACATACTGATATACACCTGAACATCAGCAGGAGAGGACTCTTTAAATCTCATATGTATCTGAGGAGAGAGTGCTTGCTNAACATGTGAGAAGTAGAAGAGTACAGG